CAGTATATTGCAAATCACGTTTCATCACTTTATTTCTTACCAATACAATTTGGACTCTTTGTTGTAGTTGGCAAACTGGCTAAAATACCCCTGGGAAGTGAGCAATATAAAATACCATGTTTTTTTGTGTGTTGTCAGGCAATAAATTAATTTATTAAGAGACACTATCGTCATCAGTATTGGACGAGTTGCTGCAGTATACAAGTTAGAATGTTATGAGCATCGATCTTATTTATGTAAAAAGTTGTTCCCCTCACATAAGCCTGTGATACAATATAGGAATAATTGTCATTAGCTGGTAAATTACCTATAAAGCTGATTTCTATTCACTGCTTTATTAACTACAGTATATGGGCACTCTGAATTGCTAATATTTCCTTTAAATTATAATCTGTGATGACACGGTGGTGCCTGTGTTGGAAAAGCTATGATGATAATCATTAACATTGTATAATGCAATACTTAAGATTTATCAGGCTCTTATTAAGCCCTGAATTACAGCATAATATAATGAAATGCAAGCTTATTTCTTCCAATTCAAAATCTAATATGAGGTTTGTGCCATAAATTACATATACTTCAAAACAATGCGTGGAAATGTGGCATAAAGTTAATTTCTATCATTATGTTGTTGTTTTTCTGCATGTTCTTCATGGATTTGTGTAACATTGTTTTTTCTTGTTTACCCTAGATAGTTGGTACTTATAATTATTTTATTAGCATCCAACTGCATTTTCCCTTTCTTGACTAAGAAGCAGAAATATTTCAAACATCAAAGTTGATTTAAATAGGATACAGCCCTTGGGAAATTAAAAGGGGATGTAGTTCACTGCCAGGAATCTTTGAGAAATACTATGAAATTTGGTTTCTGTGTTGCTTTATAGAAATAAATTGATGGTGCATTTTGGCAGATGGAACAATGAAGGGTGGGAGTAATATTTTTTGGCTACATCTCATCGTTTAGCTTGAAGAGATCAACATAACATACAAAGTAAATGTGTAATCTAAATACAAATTGTATTTTGCACTCTCATTTTTTTAGATGGAAAAACATTACAGCACAAAAGCTAGGAAACAAATTAAAGTAAAACCTAGGAAGTGAGCAACAGAATATGAAATTTGAACCTTAATATTAGGTTCTTGTAATTGTCCTCAAAGTCAAGTCTATCTTACCATAGACAGGCAGCACCTTTGTTGGGTGTCTTAAGGAATACATGGAAACAGCTTTACCTCACTCCTATATGTTTCTCATTTTGTAAGTCACTGCTCTCTTGTTCTACCTTTTAATAGGTAGAGTAGTGACTTTGAAAGGTCATAGGTTTGAATCTCAACGCTGCCAATTACTAGACTTGTGAATCTTGAGCAAGCCTCAATTTTACCAGCTGTAAAATGAGTACAATGATAATTTCCTCATAGGGCAGCTGGGATGATAAATGTTATAGGTGAGCATGAAGCATAATAGATGGTCCATAAGAAGTGCTTAAAAATTTTAACTATTGTTGCTTCTAATGTATTCATTTCTACTAGGAAGGAATATAAATTAGTAATGAATATCTGATATGAAGAAGTAAACATATCTGATCTGGAGATGTCAAAGTTCCATAAAAGAGAAAGGGGCATAAAAAAGGGAGGCTGAAGTCACCAAAAGAAAACCGTTATGCTACAACTTTGCATAGGATGGACACTACTCTCAATCTTATTTTTTAAAGCTGTTAATAATCATAACATATGAATGATCAGAGAGTGGCTCTATGTCTTATACAAACACTTGATTTCTAGTTTTTTCTTCTTTCTTCTCTTCCCATAAAACAATACTAGAATGGTTGCATCAGAAATTTCAGCAAAGGCACTCAGATTCTCTTCTGTTATAATGGAGGCAGCAAATAGAATCTGGATCCACCAGGCAACAGCCCTTACAAATCCCTTTTTTCTTTCTGCTGAACCTATTCAGCAGTACCCTGATACTCTTGTACCTAGGAGACTGAATGCTGCCAGAGAAAACTGGACAACCCCAACTGGGTTTTCAATGCTGTATACTTATCAATTGTTTGATTTTTCTGATCTTTTCACTCCCTGTCATGACTTTTAAAAACTCTTACTACTCTCTTCTTGTGCTCAATTAAACCATGTTTCTCATGCTTTTAGAAATCAACCACTGCTCCTGCTTCAAAGAAAGAATTGAGACTACCGTGCGTGGCTTTTCTCAATTTACCACTCCACCCCCCACAAATCTGCACGCCATCATCAATCCTCACCTCTTTTGCTCTGATTTTAGAAGATGATGTGTTTTCCTTCTGTATAAGGCCAACTCTTCCTTCCATGTCTTTCCCTAAATTTCCTGCTCCTCCTGGATCTTGTTCTGTGAGTCTCCCTTTCTTTGCCTACATCTTCAATCTCTGCTGCTCTCTTGTGCCTATTTTGTTAGTCTGGAAACATGACTCTCATCATATATCCCATTCAAATGTCTATGGGTCCCCCATAACAAATCTTCTTAATCTCATTTCTCTCCTCACCATCCAGATCTCTCAAAATGGTTAGCTACATCCATATTCTCTGCTTGTACATCTCATATTCTCAACCTACAGTAATCAGAATTCTGACAACACTCCTCTACAAAAATTGCTCTAAGATTATGTTATGCCAGTTACATTTTAGTCATTATCTTACTATGCTTTTCTGCTGTATTTGACAATGTTGATTAATCTTCCTGTTTTGAGCTCTCTACTCCAATGGTTTACATGACACCAGACTCCTGGCTTCTTTGCCTTTCTGACCCCTTTGACTCTTTGTGACCCTTTTCTTGTGTTTTGGAGTTCTTGACTATACACACTCTTTAGGTTATATTTTCCCAGTGTCACAGTTTCGATTTCCACCTTAACTATAATGTTTCTTGCATTAGTCAGCTTGGGCTGCCATAAACAAATACCACAGACTGGATGACTTAAATAAGAGAAATTTTTCTCACAATTCTGGAGGCTAGAAGTCCAAGATCAAGGCAATGATTTCTTTCTGAGGTCTCACCTTGGCTTGAAAATGACTGCCCTCTCGCCACATCCTCCCCGTGGTCACCCCTTAGTCTGTGTTCTATAATCTCTTTTTTATAAGGACACTAGTAATTTCAAATTAGGGCCCACCCATATGACCTCATCTTACCTTAATTACATCTTTAAAGACCCTATCTCCAAATTACAGTCCATTCTGAGGTACTGGGGGTTAAGACTTCAACATATAAATTTGATGGGGGTGGGGGACACAATTCGGCCCATAAATCTCCTAAATCTATATTTCCAGTTTGGATTTCTCCTTTAAGACGAAAACTATCTAATGCCTATTGGACATTTCCAGTAAGATTTCCCACAGAAAATAGTCTTACATTGAACCAGGCATTAAACCTACACTTCCCCTTGCACTTTCCATTTTCACTGGTGTTCACCTAGTCAGCCAAAGTGTTTTTCTATGCTCCTCCCATGCCCGTATCCTGCACATCCAACCAACACCCAAATGCTGCTCTTTGTAGTTGCACAATACTTCCCAATTCTGTCCTTTTCTCTCCATCCTTACTGAGGTTGCCCTAGTTCAACTTGGCACCTTCTCCTGCTTTATTGTAGAAATATTTGATGCCATTCTAGTCCTGAGTCTATGCCCCACATAAGTGAAAGAGTATGAGACATAAAACCAAGTCTGACTACATTACTCCCTCACTTACATTTCTTTGGTGGTTTTTCATTATCTACCAAATATGGCTCATACTTTTTAATATGGCAAATGAGGCTTTTAAAGTCTGAATCTTCCTTTTATTGGCAGCCTCATGTTTCACTACTGTCTGTTTCACACTCTTCACTTTAGTAACACTCATCTGCTTTTGGTTGCAATATATTCTATCCCTCTATATTCCCATGACTCCACATTTGCTAATGCTCTCCTTCTGGCCAGGAATGCATTCCCCAATCTGCTTATTTTTCCCTCCCTCAACATTACCTAGTTAACACCTGCTCATCCAACTAATTGCAAACCAAAGGTAGTTTCTTCCAGAAAGACTTTTTTTGAATCAGGTGCCCCTTCTTTCTTTCTCATAATTCCTTATTTTTACCTATTATCAAACTAATGATATATATCCACTTTCCTTCCTAAGCTGTGAGTCTCTTGAGGAATAGACAGAATTTATTTATTTATTTTTTGAAAGCAGGATTTATTGAGAGCACAGGAAAGCTCCCACAATGGGAGAGGACCCGAGGGGGTTGCCTCAGAATTTATTAATCTTAGTCTACCCAGCGCCTACACTTACGCTGTGCGTGGAACATCACACACAAACAACTAAGCTTTTGTTTTAGTGTTATGTTGTAAATGGACTATTGTGAAATTCAACTGAGGAGGTAAGTCATGGATTCGTGTCTTATTCTAATTTTTCAGGAACTCTTTAAATATGTTCTTTATTTCATACAGAAGAGAGTATGTTTAACTTCTAAGACTAAGCAACTACACTAAATTCTCTACAGGGAAAAAACAGAGAGTCACTAATCTGAATTAGTGTTTCTGCTTTTGATTTCGATTAGTGATTCACAGCATGATACATCCAGGCTCATTTCCATGTTCGCTACAAACCAGTTCATAGATTCTTAAAAGCAAAATGCATGTTTTTCTGACCAAAGAATTAATCTTCATTTTCTGAAACATTGTGCAGAAATTAATTTGGCGGGTTATTTTACTGAAGGTGTTTGTTTTCCTTGATGCTGGCTTTGTGTTTCTGTGATAAGAAAAGTAATTGATGACTGCCCTGAATTTCTCCATATTTCTGGTTAGCAGGGCAAAGGCCACTTGTGTTAGCGCTGGGGAAAATGTTGGAGAAAGTGTATGCACCATGAGCCAGCACTAGCGTGGAAGCTTCATTGTCGGGGGTGCTGTGGGTATTGTGCCCTGCTCTTACCTCACCACCTAGAACAATATCAGGCCCAGAGTAGGTGCTCAAAAAGAACTTGTTGGTGAATAAAGAAAGTACATACCTTGCACCTGAAGAACCTGAGAGATGTCAAACCCTTGGCTGATTCTGACTATGACGACACCAATCTCAAAATCAAACGCATCACTGAAAGAGGAAGTAAAGTGTTTAGTGTTTTAAATGGCTTCTTTAATCCTCAAGATTTGGATTCAAACTTGCTACTAGGATTTAGATATAATGAAACTATTAACATCCACATAGAATATAGCCAATAGCGGATGCCTTTTCTGTTTGTTCCTATCTTTATGCCTTTTTAAAATGTATTCAAAGTGAACAATTATCATGATACTATAAGAAAGGGATTGGCAGGAGTGGGAAACTGCCGGGGCGGGGGTGGGATTGGCAGTTGAGGGAAACTGCCAGGGGAGGGAAGGGCACACCTCATCAACAAGGGTACCTGCATAATGAACATTTGTATACCTAACCCTGAATTGTACCCCACATCTTAAACTTAAAAAAAAAGATGTATTCTGGACCAGGCTCGATGGCTCAACCTGTAATTCCAGCACTTTGGGAGGCTGAAGCGAGTGGATTGCCTGAGCCCGTGGGTTCAAGACCTCGTCCCTACAATCAATCAATCAAAAACTTGCCAGGTGTGGTAGTGCATGCCTGCAGTTCCGGCTACTTGGAAGGCTGAGGCAGAAGGATCCCCGGAGCCCACCAGGTCCATGCTGGGGTGTCCGTGCATGTGCCACTGCACTTCAGCCTGGGTGATGGAGTGAGATTCCAACTCAAAAAAAAAAAAAAAAAAAGAAAGGAAAAGAATGTATTTTGAGTAGTGGTAACTAAATTACTTACACTGTAGCCAACTTACTTAAATAATAACAACTAGAATTTTGATGAATAACTTGTTGTGTACTTTAAAACTAATTTAATCTTTTATAAAGGGAGCAAAACAACTCCTGGTATATTTAGAACAGAGAGTGGACAGGCTTCAAAGACCCTTTGAAATGAGCCACACCCCTCTCCTGCCCCACAGGACGATGCCTTTTGAATTTCAGACATCAAGTGCATGGTCACAAATATCTCCAGTTCCTCCAAGGAACTTTTTAGCATGGACTCTGAACAGGCCATTCGGAGCAACGTTCCTTTTCGCAATGTACTTTAAGATGACTCTTTTCTATATCCAACCCAATGGAATTAGATTATATAGAAGAGAAATAAAGGCTCTCTTTCTTTTACCTCTGTTTCTGTAGCTATGTTTTCTTTGGTCCTAAATATCGAAACATGTCAATTAATAATTTGAATCATTTTAAATGTTTTCCTGGGGAGTTTGTTCAATCTTCTATGGACCTAAAACCAAGGATCCCTTGCCAGTAGGTCATCCTCCAGAAACGATGCCATCTGTGACTGTCCTATCATATGCAACCAAGTTTCCAATGGCCAAAGCATGAATTTTCAAATGATATAAATAAGTTTGGTGTAATATGAATATCCACTCAAAATTCAAACCAGAAATAAACTTTACTTAATAGAATGATGTATTCTAGCCCAAGTTGCCAATGCACTCTTAAAAAAAAATAAAAATTTGGATTCTGTATTAGGCAGAATAATGGACCTCCAAAGACATCCTAATCTCTGGAACCTGAAAATATGTTTTCTTACATGACAAAAGAAGTTTGCAGATGTGAACATGTGATTAGTTTAAGGAATTTGAGATAGGGAAGATTATCTGGATTACCTGAGTGGGCCAAATATAATTACAAGGGTACTTAAAAGTGACATTAGGAGACTTAAAAGGAAGTCAGAGTAATGTGATGTGAGAAGGACTTGACCAGCCATTGCTGGCTTTTAAGATTGAAGAAGGGGGCCCTGAGACATGCCTACATGATGGAAGCTTCTAGAAGCTAGAAAAGGCAAGGTAAGAAACTTGTCCCAGAACCTCCCAAAGGGAATGCATGGACTGCACTATGGTTATTGTTCCGTGAGAGCTTTGTCAGACTTTTAACCCACAGAGCCATAAGATAATAAAATTGGACAGTGTGTGGTGGCTTATACAGCACTTTGGGAGGCTGAGGTGAGAGGATTGCCTGAGCCCAAGTGTTTGAGAGCAGCCTGGGCAACATGGTGAGACCTCATTCCTATGAAAAAAAAAGAAAAACTTAGCTGGACATGGTGGTACATGCCTGTAGTCCCAGCTACTTGGGAGGCTGAGGTGGAAGAATTACCTGAGCCCAGCAGGTTGAGGCTGTGGTAGCTATGTTCATGCCACTGCAGTTCAGCCTGGGCTTCTGAGTGAGACTCTGACTCAAAAAAAAATATGTATTGTTTGTAGCCTCTCAATTTTAGATAATTTGTTATGGAAGCCATCAAAAACTGATGTATACAGATTCTAACTAAAATTAAATCACAATTAGGGATATTACAGACATTTAAAATATTTTATTCAAATAAAAATGGTAACATACTACATTGTTATAATATCCCTGTAATAACAATTATATTGTACTTTATTTTAAGTCATAAAGTCACACAAAATTGGAAAGGAAAATGGAATACACGTATTGAAAGGGAAATTACAATACAATGTGGGATTTTCTTTCTTCTATATTAACCCCATTGTTGTGGTGGTAAAATAATTTAATTTTACCAATCCAGCTAGATTTTATGCTAGTACAAGTCTGAGTCACCTTAACACTGAACTTTATTACCAAGAAGACCAGTTATTTATTAATTTGCTATAAAAGCTAGAGGCCTCTTTGATTCAGTATTATTTGGCTTGATTACTTTGGTCCCTTTGCATTTTTGTAACATTTGGGATGGTGGGGAGGTTGGAAGATGATCCCAGGTAATTCTGTATCAGACTATGGACTATTTGAGTGAAGATTTACACATTTCTTCCTCTTTGCTTATTCCCCTACCCTTTTGTTTCCTAAGGTGAACATAAAATTTTACTGAAGAATCTGGATAACAGAGGACAGATCTAATCTATTTCCGGGAATGTCAGGTCAGCAACTGACTGTCTTTCTAAATATATCCAAATGCTGTTTGCTGAGTCTGGCAAAATTCTGGTCTTGATCACCTGGTTTAGCCTTAATCTCCTGAACTTAACAACACTAGCAGGAGCCTGATGGGAGCTCATGACATCCCAGCTGTATGTGTTTGGGAAATACAATGCATTTAGTATAGAGGTTCCTCACATTAGGAAGACTGTTAAGTGAATTTCTGTTTGGTTAGTAATGCCTATAAGTTCAGAAGAGGAAAATTATTTTCTTATGCTTCTTTTCAATAGAACTAAGAATGCTTTTGTTCCTATGTTGCATAAATGTGCCCCAAATAATGGTAAGTGTGAAGCTCATTATAACAAGGGGTAGAGGAAATAACCTGCAATAAGAAGCACTAAGCATATGCTTATTTGGAAGGTGTGAGAATTTCTTCCCTGTGTAGGATGAACTTTTAAGTGCAGCCCTGCCTCTCAGGGCATGTTCTGTAGCCCATGGGATAAAATCAAAGTGTAGCTGGATCTTGGACTTGGAAAACCTTCCATTTCCAGAGGTGTTGACACAAAAGACAGTTGTTACACATTGCCTCTCTGGAGTCTGGTTTTTTCAAGTCCAGAAGAAAGGCTCAATTTTCTAGATTGTTTCTTTCTGTATGTGTAGAATTTGTTTTCTCTTATTCAAAACAAGGATCCAAGCCAGGTAGTACTTTTGGTATATGAAGGAGGACCACCCCAAAAACAGAATTATTTTTTGGAGGGCAGGCCCCTTGTAGTACAGGCTTCCCCCACTAGGAGAGGGTTCTAGGAACCCACTGGCATCAGTGTACCAGTTAGCGTTGTTGTGAAAGACTGTGTTCAAATTAAGGAAATTTTTCTTTTGGGATTCTTTCAATGTGCTTGCCCATTTCATGGTGGGTGATTTACATGCACACCTGCCCACACTGTGCTGCGCGTTCAGAGTTTTTGACCAAAAATCCCATGGCCCCCTACCCCACCCTCTCTATTCACATAGTCTTGCCCTGAGCGACTTTTTTTGTTTGTTTGTTTCTCCCGATGAAAATAGTCCTCAAAGGGAAACATTTTGCTAATGTGGAAAAGATGAAACAAAAAACAGGAGAAGCAATAAAAGGCATCACAATTAATGGGTTCAAAAACTGTTTTGAGCAGTGAAAAAAGCATCTTGATAGGTGTATTGCATCAAACGGAGAGTACTTTGAAGGTGACTGAAGTTTGAACATGTAAGAATAAATATACAATTTTTTATAAATAAATTCTGGGTATTTTGAGGTCCTCCTCGTATATATACTTTTGGAGGCAGCACAGCATTGTGGTCATGAGTTTGAACTTCGAATTCAGTCTTGGGTTGGAATTCCAGCTCTCTCACTTAATAAAATCTGTGAGTTTTCTGAGTGTTACCTAATTTTTTAATGTCTGTGTCTCCACTTGTAAAATGGGATCAACAACAGTACTTCCTTCAAAGGCTTCTTATGAAAATTAAATGGGATAATTCCCGTTAAGGATGCCCATCTGCTGCCTGCTAGTCCTTTAAGATCTATTATTATTAAGCTCTGTTATTACCTAGATCCTAAGCCTCTTCAAATATTTAGTTATTCAGTGTAACGTACAATGTAAAACTCAAATTCTGTGCACAAGCCGTTCTTGCTCCTCCCAGTAGCAGTGGGACTTAGCATTTGGAAGCCTTATATCAGCAGAGGGAGATATGGGATTTTGGGATAATAAACAAATTATTCAATGCCCAGAAGAAGACAATCCAGAATCCAAGAATCCAGGTGTTTTGGAAGAAAAATTTCTCCTTACCACCCAGCTGTTCTTTGTTTTTAATCTTATAAATAGATGTTAAGGTTTAACTCTAAACATTTATCTTTTTCTTGACACTAATGTTTCTTCCACCCTGCCTCTTTTGATACTCTGACTCTCTCAAGTTCTATTATTGGCAGAGCTTTTTCACCTTGGGATAGAATTCAGAGTACCAGGGGAATGTGCTCTTCTCAGGCAATTTAATCTGACACAACAGTGTTATGTGCAGTACAAGTTATGTACTGCCCTGGTTAGTGCTTTATAAACAAGAACACGTCTTGAAAGCCATCACTTACTGTATGATTCCCACGTAGTTCTCAATCTCTGTCAAGGGAGCTTTCCTCCAATTTTTTTTATATCCAATCACCAGAGTGTTTGGTTTCATTCTTCCTAAGCCTGAGGCCTAAACAGAGGACATAAACACATGGGCAATCCTTACCGTACTGGGAAACTACCACCACAAATGAAAAATAATGTTCAAAAGAGCACTGAAGTAATGTTCTGAAGATTCTGAAGATTAGATTACATTTTAGTACATGTCCTTCATGCCCGTACCCAAGCATAAAATAGAAAGATTAGTTCTAAATCATCTCAGCCATAAATGGATTTTAGATGACAGAAATGTAGCTTTTCTAAATTAGCAGTCATTTGCATTTCTTCTGACACACTCATTAAAATGGTTCAATAATTTAAAATCAAGTGAGGGCCAGCTTAACTGTTGGTATGCACATTGTAACTTAGCAGTTCAAAGCTCATTTCTACCTGTTATATTCATAATGTCACTGGCAATAAAACCCATGTTTGGAAAATTCTTATATACAAGGATCACTGAAATCTTTACTTATATTATTTACTGAAGAGTGACTAAACTATGTTTCCAAAACCTAATCTTCTTCATGACAGTATCATTAATAGCCATCTTACACATCAAAAGTGTTGTTTCCCCCCATTAGATGACAGGATATGACTTCTAGTTAATCAGATTTAATTAGGCAATATTACCGAGCACCTATGAACAGCAAAGTGTTATATTAGGTTTGATGGGAGAGCAGTGAGGCACATTCTTGGACCTTAAGGGGCCAAAGATATATGATGAAGGAGACAAGATATACACCAATAGAGGGGTGACCCAAAATATCCCAATTATCTTTTAGAGGGTGGTCCCTTTATAGTACAGGCCTACCTCTGCTAGGTAAGAGTTCTAAGAACCCATCAGCAGCAGTGTACCAGCTAGGGTTTTTGTGAGACACTACATTCAGCTTCAGTGAATTTTTTTTGGAGATTCTTTCACCCTGTTTGCCATTTCAAATGGTTAATTTATCAGCACACTTGCCCACACCATGCTGAATGTTCAGCAGTTTTTGACCAATGGAAAATAATGTGCCCCACTCTCCCTATTCACCTGATCTCACCCCAAGCAATTTTTTTTTTGTTTCCCCAAATGAAAAAGAGTTCTCAAAAGGAAACATTTTACCTATGTAAAAGAAGTAAAACAAAAAACTACAGAAACACCAAAAAACATCAAAACTGGTGAGTTCAAAAACTGTTTTGAGCAATGGAAAAAGGGTCTAGATAGGTGCATTGCATCAGACAGAGAGTACTTTAGAGGTGACTGAAGTTTAAACATGTAAGAATAAATCCACAACTTTTATAAATAAATTACAGAATTTTTTTGTCCCCCTCATAATTCTAATATAAGTACAAATGCAATAGAAACTCATAGGGAAGTACAAAGGAAGAAAACTTGACTTCCAGCTGCAGATTCATGGTCAGCTTCACGGGAGAGGTGGCATTTCTTCTGAGTCTTGGAATTTGGTTAGATGCTGACAGGTAAAAATAAGCAGGGCAGTAGGAGTGGTAGAAGGCTGTTGTGGGCCATGGGAGTAGTGAAAAAAGTGACCAGAGCTGGACATTTTAGAGAGGACAGTAGCAAGTGGAAGGAGATAGACAGTGATGGGGGGGTTCCCGAAATAAACTTTGCTTCTGACACATTTGGCGTATTGCTTTTAGTTCCGCAGCTCCTAGGAGCCCTCATGTGGCCCTTGGCAGATGTGTGGCAGCATGGATGTAGTCTTTTCTATGACTACAGTTTGAGGATGTGGTAATTCATACCAGAACTTCTGACATGCAAAGAAGGTTTTATCCAAAATGATACAATTGCAGAACTTCCCTTGAATATCACTCTGTCCTGTGGGGATCCCACTGTACTCCACTTTTATTTGAAGAAATTCATGTGAATTTATGCATGTTCAAAAATTTTTTTTACCATTTCTTCTGGATTAATATAATAATAATTTTCCATACCATCTTTTCCTTCCCTGCTCTTATTCTATGTCTGTTTTCCCATTCCTGGTTGAAAATGTTATTATTTTACAAATTTTCTGTTATAATTTTATGTTGAGTAATCTTCCCAATATATTTAACCAAAGAGCAACTGAAAAATAACTCACAACTGAAAGAAAAATCAGCATCTTGCAATGCTAACACCTATTTCCATGGTTTAGCAAATTAATAACAGATGAAAGAGGCTCATTGTGGGTAATAGGTCTTTTAGAAATGGATTCTCTGCATACGCAGCTACTTTGCGAATATTCTTAAGGGATATTAGAGACAGAAATGCATCAAATACTCTTAATCCCTAACATATTACAGCTTAACCAATATTTTTTCCTTTCATAAACATCAGAGTTACCTTGATGCAGTCCTGACTTCTGACAGTCGATGTGACAACTCTGAAAGTCAAATACACCATTTGGTATACATAGAATTAGGAGTTTTCAATCAGATTAAAGCCAAAATGTCCAGAAAGCCAAGTCCTACAATTTCTGAGGGTCTCTTGGATTGTTTTAAGATTTCTTTGGCACTAAATTATGAAGATTGGAACTAGGGAGAGATTTTATATACTTACTATAGAAGAGGCAAAGAAGGGGAGGAAAAAGAAAAGAATAGGGGAGAAAAGATGGACACTGTGGGATTTAAGGTTGAGCTGTAGAAATTATTACATTTTACTCAACATTCTGGAAGTAATTCAGGAGGATAGGGAGATTTTACGCCCAGATCACCAGGCATTAATTTAGTTGAGTCTAGCAGCTGTCCTCACACCATTTGCAAAAGAAAAAAGGAAAAGAATGCCTGACTTGAGCGTTGCTATATGCAGTATGAAATACAAAAATAGTTTGAAGCTTCAATAGGATCCTGAATGTCGTCAACCACCAGAACAAATTTGCATTTCAATAAGTATGGGGGCAGAATGTATGCTGGTGGCCAAAGGCAACCTCATTTTCCATTTCCAGTGTATCATTCATAGTTCATTGTAATAGAACTTCTCTGCTTTTGTTCTAGTTCTGCCTATCCCCAGGAATTTGAAATGAATTCCTTAACCATCTGCATTGATCTCAGATGTGGGGCTGCCTAACTACAGCCATTCACTTCCAGAGTATCACATTAACTCGGAGCACTAATTGTCTTTTGCCTCTGTGCTTATTTCCTCAACTCACCTGAAGGAGACTTCGGACACCATCTCTGAAACAGTCTGCCGCGACTGCAGCATAAAAAGCCTTGATTTTGTTCTTTATAAGCCAGGCCTGTTTTTTCACCATGCCACTGTTCATCTCCTTAACGCACAGCTTGCGCGGTCCCTGTACGACACGATGAAATACTGGTTAGAAGTCCTGCTATTATACATCACACTGCTGTTGTTTTCTAAAGGACAAAAATAGCCAGCAATGCCCCATTGAGTTAAGAAATGGGAAAGAGGGAAAAACACCTCACTAAACAGGGTTCACACAGATTCAACCTTTTGGAGAGAATCCGTGCTATTCATATCATTCACTTTCCACCTAAAATGTCTGGACTTATTAACACCTGCTTAATTAACTGCCTCATGCCAAAGCAAAGGAAGAGCTGAGGGCATCATGGCACAAGAGGAAAATGCTGAAAATGTAATTGAGGAGGCACAGGGTAAATACACAATCAACCTTTGACTCAACAGCGAAAGCCTTTTAGGAAAACAAAAGAAATCTTAGCTAGAGCCCAATTTCAAGAAATAGAGCTCTGGGGAGGCAGAACATGGTGAGCTGCAAATATTGCCACAAACTGCACATCTTGACAATTCTGTTTGACTGATGCATTGCTTTTTTGTATGGTTAAGAATACCTACTCAAATAAATTAACATTTTCTTGTCATTCAATAAATTTGGTGGGAGCAAAAGTTCACATGTGTATGATAAGAAGAGTGGAAGAGAATAAGAGAGAAAGAGGCAGGTGTTGTAATGGTTGATAAGGCAATTTATAATTTCAAGATTTAGTTCAGGAAGCTCACTTTTTTTTTTTTTTTTTTGAGTTGGAGTCTCATTCCTTCGCCCAGGCTGGAGTGCAGTAACAATCTCACAGTCACCCCAGCGTTGACCTGCTGGGCTCCAGCGATCCTTCCGCCTCAGCTTTCCAAGTAGCCGGAACTACAGGCATGTGCTACCATGCCCGACTAATTTTTATTTATTTATTTATTATAGAGACAAAGTCTCGTCAAGTTGCCCAGGCTTGTTTCAAACTGTGGGCTCAGGCAATCCATTCACCTCGGCCTCCCAAAGTGCTGGAATTACAGGCTAAGCCACCGAGTCTGGCCAGGACCTCATTTTTAATGACAAGTTTTATCCTTCCTTAAAAGTCCAAGCCAGCTCTTTTTTCTTCTCATGTTAATATTTGTGATTGTCTACCAGGTGTCTGACAAGATATAAATCTGTTTTCCTGGGAAATTCTTTTAATTCATAGGGAGATTTATATTTTGTTGCGATATTTCAGATTTTATATGAATCATCTAGGATCTTGATAAAATGTTGTCTGTTGGTCTGAAGCGAGACCCCAGATTTTGCGTTTCTAACATGTTCCCAGTGACACACATGCTGCCGATCCTTAGACCACTCTTGGAGTCACAGTCTTAGAGGGTCTTGAATTGGAGAGAAAGGGTATAGAGATTCAGGGGGGAAAAAAAAGCCAAGGCTTTGTGATTAGACAGAGCTGGTCTCAAATCTAAGCTTGGCCACTTCAGAGGTAATTAATTTTCTCTGAGCTTTGATATCTTAGTTTAAAAATGGAGATAAACACTCTATTCTGCAAGGTTGTTTTAAATAGTAATAATAAAGTACCTAGTACAATATCTGAAAAATATTAAGTGATCATCCAAAGCTGATGTATCTTCCATAAGAAAATAGATTTATATCTTGTCAGGCACATGATAGACAATCAGGAATATCTTTTTGGATTGAATTACAACAAGAAAAGAAAAAAGAACTAGCATTGACCTTTAAGAAAGGATAGAACTTGTCACTAAAAATCAGTTTCCCGAACTAGTATCTTCATAAGTGCTCACAGTCTCATTGAATCCCCAAACCTGATTCTATTACTGTGTTTGTTCTTTAACAGAGTTGAAAGAACACTGAACTGGGAATCAGAATGTTGGGCTTAGATCTGACTCAGGCTCTGACTAGTTGATACCCTGGGTATGTCATTTGCCCTCTCTTGATACATGTTCTACAGATTTTTGTTGTTTTTTTTTTTTGAGTTGGAGTCTTACTCTGTCGCCCAGACTGAAGCGCATAGGCACGCTCCCGGCCACCGCAGCCTCGACTTGCTGGGCTCCGGCGAGCCTTCCGCCTCAGCCTTCCGAGTAGCTGGAACTACAGGCGTGCGCTGCCACGACCGGCTAATTTTTTTATTTATTGTAGAGATGAGGTCTCACCAAGTTGCCCAGGCAGGTCTTGAACCCATGGGCTCAGGCAATCCACTCACCTCAGCCTCCCAAGGTGCGGGATTACAGGCTGAGCCACCGAGCCTGGCTCATGTTCTACATTTTAAAAAATGAGGCAATTGTCTAGGTCATCACTGTCCAGTATGATAGCCTGTTATCCACATGTTGCTGCCGAACATTTGAAATGTGACTGGTTCACACTGAGAAGTGCCAAAAGTATAAACTACACACTGGATTTCAAAGTCTTAGTATAAAAACGTATATAAAATACCGAGATAATGTTTCTATATGGATTGCATATTGAAATTAAAATATTTTGGATGCATTGGGTTAAATAAAATATTATTAAAATAACTTTACCTAATTCTTTTTTCCTTTTTAATTGGCTACTAGAAATTTACATTACATATGTGGGCAAATAGTCTATTTCTATTACACAGCATTAGATGATGTCTAGAGTCCCTTCTGTTTTAATAAAATAACTTTACCTAATTCTTTTTTCCTTTTTAATTGGCTACTAGAAATTTACATTACATATGTGGCAAATAGTCTATTTCTATTACACAGCATTAGATGATGTCTAGAGTCCCTTCTGTTTTAATATTCTATGTAAATTATATCAGATTCTTTATAATTTATTTTTTCTAGTATATTTTCTAGAACCTGACACCTTTTCAAAACAGTTTGACTGGGCACAGTGACTGTAATTGCAGCATTTTGGGAGGCAGAGGCAAGAGGATTGCCTGAACTCAGGGATTTGAGACCAGTCTGAGAGCCACATGGCAAGAGCTCATCCCTACAATAAATCAAAAAATTAGTTGGGCGTGGTGGTGAACGCCTGTGGTTCCAGCGACTTGGAAGACTGAGGTGAGTTGAGGCTGTGGTGGCTGTGAGCATGTCACTGCACTCCAGCCTGGGTGAAAGAGTGAGACTCTGATTTTTTTAAAAAAGGTTTAGATGGGCTGGACACAGTGGCTTATGTCTATAATCCCAGTACATTGGGAGGTTGAGATGGGAGATTTCTTGAGTCCAGAAGTTCAAGACCATCCTCGCCAACATGGTGAAACCTCATCTCTACAAAAAAATTATAAAAAACTAGCCAGGTGTGGTGGTGTGAGCCTGTAGTCCCAGATACTTGGGAGACTGAGTCCAAGAGTTTGAGGCTGTGGTGAGCCATGATCACGACACTGTACTCCAGCCTGGGCAACAGAGTGAGACCCCCTACTCAAAACAAATAAAAACAAACAAACAAACAAACAAAACCAGTTTGGATGACTTCACATTAAAGGAAGTTTAAAAAACAAGAAACTTCAATGAAGATAGAAAAAGTAGAGAGTTAGGGAGGACAGTTATTAAACCAAAAGACCTAAAAAAAGATATGTCATATGGAGCAAATTTAGCTCAGGTTTCCAGACTGTCGGTGCATTTTGAATTGCTAGGCCTTCCTTGGGCATTCTAGACATCATCAACTGCAAAGAAAAGATGGAATATTGTATTCAAGGAAGCTCAGTGGTAACAACCACCATCAGGCAGAGGAATAACCAACAGTTAGGAAAGATGTTAGACCATTAGAATGTTGAGTTGTTCCACAATAACTGAGAACCCCTGGGGGGAAATGGCATTTATTTAAATAAATACAGTCTAATACATGTCTATTAGTATTACAAAAATCCAGATTAAGCATTAATTGTGACAGAGAGATTTACTTTTATGCCTAAACTTGCCATATTGAGAAATCATAAAAATATTTCAGGCAGAATCTCTCTTTGCTAAAAACGATTATAATATCCTTGTAACACACTTATTAATGTGAGGCAAGAAGATTGCAATATATATATAGTAAGAAGAAAGCAAACTAACAAAGAAGGAAGACACATTGGAATACAAACATCCAATATTCAAATGTGTCATAGTTTCAAAAGTAGATTTTGCTAGAGATTAGCTTCAGTTGAGATCCAAAATATGAGTACAAACATTAATTCAGGATTTGAACAAAGAAGCTTTAAAAATCCCTTACATGTTATAGCTTTGATATCGATTGAGAAAGGGGTAAAGAATTTCAAATTATTAGTCTAGAGAAGAAGTTGAAGTAGTACTATTTCAAATAAATGAATATCATGAAAAAGAATTTGCAAAGAAGTTCTAATACCAGTAGTATCAAATTGAGGAGTTTGGGCCAACTGCAAGTTTCTTTCCAAATTTTTTTTTTTAACATTGAGAGTTTTTTGTTTTTTTTGTTTTTTTGTTTTTTTGGTCTGTCTTTATTTTCATTGCTGTTCTGGATGGAATTGTGGGAAGGAGAATTTTTCCCTTTCTGATTTCATCCATATTTTATCCCATCATGCATTTTTGTGCCCATTCACAGGTTATTTCATTCTTTCAACAGTCATGTCACTGTTTTATGAACATTGTAACAGAGGCTCATGACAAAAGTAGAAAAAGATGCTTCTAAAAGGAATAAGTTTTCCTCTTGGTGGATGTGAGAGTTGACGTTAAGAAGAGCTGAAGAAACAAAAAAAAAGAGAATTTTAATTTTCCCAGGGTTATCTGGGTTTCATCTGCACTCCGTTATGCCACAGAGTTAGGAGATAAGTGTCTTCTTCAAATTTTCTTGAGAATTTTTCTAAGAGAAAATTTAAAGAGAGCTTTATGTTTTGTTAAGATATTTTAAACATTTTTAGAAAAAAGGAAAAAGGGAAACAGTAAGTATGCAATTTTGTTAAGAGGGGCTCTACATGAGGAATCTGGTCAAAAGCTATCCTTTTTCTCCTTTACAACTGAGAAGAGAATAATCAGGCCTAGAGTAATATTAAAGAGTAAGAAAAACATGAATGAAAATAGGTTTACATCTTGGTACACATGTGTAAGATGATGAGAATACCTATTAAGCTCAGACAACTTTGCCTCTGGAGAGGGAGAGAGCCAGGGGTCTGGAGTGGTCATAAAGTGAACTTTAGCTTGATCCGTAGTGGTTTATTTCATTTTACAAGTGAGTGAAAGCATCTGTTACAAAAATGTTAACAGTTATTAATGAAGATAGGTAGAATATAGGTCTCATTTGAGTTTATATAGTTGAGCCATAGGAAATAGCCAGGATTCAATAATTTTTATTTACAAAAATGCAAATTTCATAGGATTCAATCTGATATTTTCCCTAATGTATCAAAATAAAAAACAATGTCTTTTTAAAAAATTTATTTTTGAGCCACCAGCACAATACAACATACTTGATGAAAGATGCTGTAGACTTGAAAACTTTTTGCAAATTTAAGACAAACAATAATTTAGAAAAGAGTTAAGTGCCATGTTTTTGGTTTTATCTGATTTGCATTCCAAATATCAGATCTTTTGATCTTTAAAAGTATATCTGCTTTTGATCTTTAAAAGTATATCTGTTTTTATTTGTTTTAATTTTAAAAAATCCCTGTCTTTAAATGAAAATTGAGAAGTATATGAGTGAGGGACTGCTGCAGTATGATACCTTATCACACGGGAAAGATAAGTCTGATACAAGCCCTGAAGACTTTTAGAATTGAATGTAGTATGCCCAGAAAATAATGGGTTCATAAATTCAACTAAGTTATCTGCAATGACTGGTTTAATTAACTTTCCATCTACTATGAATGACATATGAGAGGAAACTCATTGACAGAGGTGGTGCTTATTTGTGTCACGGTATGTAGGGTAGAACTGGTGGAAGTTACAATCTGCACTGGTTAATACTTGCCTTTTGCTATACCTGATGAACCTGGTTATGGCTTGAAATATGAGGGGCTACTACAAAGTGAAGTCTCACTCCCTCTAGACTTCCTATGGTGATAGGGATGTGTCATAATATAACAAACTTACTTACATGTTAAATATAACACCTCTTGGAATAGAAGTATGTCTTTTATTTATTTTATGGTAGTTCAAATGAGAAGAATAGGCAACATTTTAAAAATTATCAAACTGAGTTCTTTAAAATGAGTCCCCTAATTTGTATTGATAAAGAGTCCCTCATTTAAAAGCTTTAGGCCAAGAAGGAAAAAAGCATAAAGAGGAAGGAAGAGTTCTGATGGATGAGTTTAAGAGTTAGTTTGAAGGCCAAAGTGGATGCTTGGGGCTCAGGAAAGAATATAGCTTTTTTAGTTTCAATTTCAGCAGTTGCAAGGGCCATGACTTCAAGCTCTTTAAAAACGTCATGGTTTTTGGAAATGGCAGCTGTGGCCACATGTTTTCCAGCTACACATCCACATCAAAATACCAGTGAGTTCTGGGTCTTCTCCTTTCTGGTAGTGTAACAGCACGTTAAGTAAGTGCTTCAATAGCCTGCTGTCCTGTGCTTAGTAGGAGTATATATCTTATTGTTCCACCATGAGCAAGCGCTGCATACCTAAAAAGTTCAAAATCAAGTGTCTGGACCTGGTTTTTCTAAAAGGGGATGCTTTAGGTTTTTGCTGAGGGTAATATATTTCTGGAATAAAAGTGGCAACTATAACATACCAAAAATAATGATAGTAGCAATATCAACAAGAACAACTAAAATTAATTTAGCATTAACTATTTGCCAGACTGTGAACTCAGCACCAGAAAGATTATCTTATACAATTCTCACAGCAACTCTATGACACAGGTGCTATTTTTTATCAATTTCCTTTTATAACAGAAAATTGAGGTACAGAGAGATGAAATTATGTGCCTAAGGGACTCACAGCTAAAATAGTGATTCAGAACTTGACTGTTATTCCCAAAAGCCCATGAGCACTAACTTCCTAGAGTTTAAAACTAAATTATCATTCTCTTATCATCATCACTATTTAACATTTACCACAAGGTTGGCCTAACCATCAAGCATTGTGCTTTTGGAAACAAATGTCTAACGGTATGCTGACTCCCCCTACATCCCCTTCCATCTGTTTCTTTGCAAAGACGATTGACGAATGAGCCTGAAAGTATAAAAATGCTGACAACATCTGCAGCCCCAGGAGCTCACAGAAAGTAACTAAGTGGAAAGTCATTAACGGATGCAGTAAGTATTTTCTGTACCCAAGAGAACCTCAGTACCTGGGAGCAAGACTCTTGGGCCCTAGATGGAGAGACCAGCATAGTAATGTATAATGTGACCTAACATATATGTCCGACAGCCAGGACCATTGGAGACACAGACTCAGGTACCTACTTAAAATGAAATGATGGTTCAACATCATACTCCTTTATCAGAGTTAAAGCAGCAAAGGGTTAATTAAAAGCCATATCTCTTGTCTCTGAGACCTTTTCTTGCTGGCCAATATATGACTGTTTCGACTTTCAGTTTATTTCTCCCGTCCTAAAGATATTTTATTGCCTGCTAAACTAAATTTGCTCTAAATTGCTGGAGAAGAAAAACACCCCAAACTGCTTATTCTATCAAAACTGGCCCCTATATTATATTGGTCAAAATGAAATCCACTAATCCAGGGCACCGAAGTTGATAATATGAGAGAAGGATGCTTGATAAGATTTTTAAAATTCCTCTGGAGTCACAGTTGGTCATTACTTAGCCTGTCAATCTTACGTACTCAGTAAGAGTCTCTCCACCCCCTACCAGATAATTGCATTGCATTGAGTTATATTGCTTGAGTTACTATCATATAAGCATTGGAGGAAAAAGGCTATGACCAACTTGCTTCATAGAACATTTAGAATATCGCCAAGTGTAAAAAGATGCTTAAGGGCTGGTCATGATGACATGTGGTAAACTAGCCCCCTGCATCATGGCAGAGTTGACTGGCTCAAGAGCCACACGACTACCTGACAACCCCACACCTCATCAGATTTTGGAAATTTCAGTAGTGCTCCCTGATTCTAATTGTATTCTAATTGATTCTAATTGTATCCCAGTATACAAATCTATTTCTTTCTCTTCATAGTGTGACACAAAACACACTCAGGTGACCTGAGCTGACATACTGGCTCTGCCACTTACTTGCCATGTGATCCAGTGCAATAATTTAATATTCCTGAATCTCTCTTTCCCAATCAGTAAAATGATAACAAGGTTTCTTTTCTTTCCTGCCTCACAAGGCTATTGTGTGGCTTGGATAAGAAAAACTGTAGAAAATTCCTTGAAGAATAGATAAGTACTTAAGTACTATAAAATACATTGATAGCTGAGGATTTTGAATGGGGTGTGTGTGTGTGTGTGTGTGTGTGTGTGTGTGTGTGTGTATGACAGAGTGTGTATGTTATGGGAATACAACTAGAAGTAGGCTAGTTTGGAGGATTTAGACTTATTATTTTATCATAATTTTAATGCTTTCTTCATACTTGAGAAATTGGTCAATAATTATGGCTAAATATCTAGCACCTACTTTGAATACCTTCTAGGAAAATTACCAGTAAGTTATCAGTCTACTACATAGTTCCTGAATGAAAAAGAATTCATTTAACTCTGAATATTTATCTAAGGCATGGAAAACTTAGTTTAGTTCCCTAGATAACTGTAGCATCATCAGATTTATCCAAATATTTAATCTAAATTCTATGTGCTGTCATTTAAGGCCATTATGTTCGGTTTTTTTCTCATCAGTTAGCACTCTCTCTGGCTCATTCCATCCTTTTATATTTCTGTAGGCGGTTATCACTCCAAATGCGTTCATTTGATTTCTGAGCCAGTTCTCTTTTTCTTGTCTCAAAGGCCATCATTGGGAAATATTTATCACTTTTAGCTTGTCTCCTGTGAAATCTGAAACACATTTATTCTACCCGTTTAAATTCAGGATCACAGGCCCTCGCTAGTCCTTGCTCTATGAATCAAGGCATATGCCTCTTGTCTAAACTGTTTTTACTATGTTCCTATCACTGCTTGCACCTTTTCTGCTTGCTAAAATAACCCAAAGTGAGCAGGAAGGAAAATGCACTTCCCCTGGGTGAAGTGGCTCTTACCACAAAGACTTCACAACAGATGCAAAGGCCACTGTTCTTGGTAAAGGCATGAGTTATGTCCAAGAGAGCGGGTCTTGTCATGGGTCCTCCTGTTAAGACAATGCATTGGGGCCTGGAAATGGAAAAAAGGTTGTGAGAATTGACCATTTTCAGGAAGTCTGTGAGCTCATTGGGAATGGCAGATACAGAAGATTTGGAAGAACAAGGACAATTTGTCTCTTTACTATTTTGTGGCTTTCCCACCAGTATTTTTGAATTGCCCTGCCTGAAACCCTAAGTTCTTTGTATTCTTAGTCACAGCAAAAAGTGTGAAGTAAGGCAAAGGTGGTCTTGTGGCTTCCTTGTCTTTTTTCCTCTGGGCTCCACCTTACTCCAAATCCCAACACAATTTGTTCCTTCCAATCATGATTTTTTTTTTTTTTTGAGTTGGAGTCTCACTCTGTCGCCCAGACTGGAGTGCAGTGGCTGCTCCCGGCCACCGCAGCCTCGACCCGCTGGGCTCCGGCAAGTCTTCCGCCTCAGCCTTCCAAGTAGCCGGAATTACAGGCACGCGCTACCACGCCTGGCTGATTTTTTGATTTATTGTAGAGATGAGGTCTCGCTGCCCAGGGGGGTCTCGAACCTGCAGGCTCAGGCAATCCACTCACCTCAGCCTCCCAAAGGCACGGGATTACAGGCTGAGCCACCAAGCCCGGCTCCAATCATGATTTTTATGCTACTTTTCTTTATCCTCCTTTCAAGTTTGTGTTTTGAGTTTCCATTCAAAATAAGATACAACTAATGAAGAACTCAAAATGTTGTTTTCCTAGGAGAATTCAGCAAACCATGAAACTTTAAGCTGCATGGAGACAATGCCAGAATAAGGTGTATGGGGATTAGGAACACCTCTTTGAAATCACATCACTTAGTCCACCTCTCTATCTCCAGGCTTGGAAGGTGGCACCTGGCACTGTGAGGAGCTATAGTTTGGGGTGGACAGAGTTCAGTGTGGCAGGAAAGAAGCACTCATGTACAGCAGGTGCTGTCATGAAAATGTAGCAGTTTTGCATGATGACTTATTTTTAGAATATACCCATAAAGCGTTTAACTACTCTGAAGCACTTGTTTACCATAAAGGAAAGTCACTTCTAATGTGGAAGAACACCAGGATACCTGAGAAGCCAAGTTTACCTGAAATTTTTCACATGGTCCTCCACTGTGGTTAATTCCAAGGCATTGTCTAAAGCACTCACGTAGGAAAGAGCCTGTGTGGAGGAGCCCCAGTTCACATCTGTGGATAAAGGGGAAATTGGTATAAAAAGCATCGACCTTTCCTCTGTATACTATGAATAATTTTTATAAGCCATTCTCTTCTATGATTTTTCTTGGCTATGCCAGCAGTGATGAGTGCCCAAATTAGAGAAAGTACAATGTAGTATTTCCTAAAAAGTGCATTGTGTCCTTCTGTGAACACTATGTGAATCCTAAGAAGCGAGACTTCTTTCCAGCGGAAAATCAGACTGTAAAGCTGAAGTCCTAGAAATCTTGCCCTGTGGGAAAGGCTGTGTGATAACCACATTGCAGGCAGATAGACTTGGGAAATTGGTCAGTCACTGAATAAATTCAAGTTGTCTTCACAAATTCTTAAACTGCAAGGAAAAGCAGCATTTCTGTACACACTGATAGTGTGCAGTCATCTTTATATTTTGAATAGTAACAAAACTGAATAGCACAAGCATTCCCATTTCTAGATTTCCACGAAGAGGGTCAAGTTCTTCAACAAGCATTTTAGTTTGACATTTTAGAATCTGATCTTTATCATAACGGAGGTCAGCTCTACTATTCCTTGTCTTGTGTTTTGTTTTTCGACAAATTTAAATATTAAACGGAAGTTCTAAGTTTGTTTGTTTGCTTGAGACAAGGACTTGTTCTGTTGCCCAGACTGGAGTACAGTGGTGTGATCATAGTTCTATCTGCATGCATGGAAGGTGGCACCTGGCACTGTGAGGGGTTGTAGTTTGAGGTGGGTAGAGTTGCGACCTTGACCTCAGGCTCAAGTGATCCTCCCGCCTCAGCCTCCCAAGTAGCCGGGACAACAGGCATGCACCACTATGTCCAGCAATTTTTTCTATTTTTTGTAGAGATGAGGTTTCATTATGCTGCCCAAGTTAGTCTCAAATTTCTGCCCCAAATGATCCTCCCATCTTGGCCTCCCTAAGTGCTGGGATTATAGACATTAGCTACTATGCCTGGCCTGGATCCTCTAAGTTTTATGAGAGAAAGTCTTTGCAGGAATGTACAGATACACTCCAATGACAGACAGAGCCTCCCAGGCTTGCTCTGGAGAGTCAGGGAAATGGGTGGAGGACAATTAAATGGAGATAAAGAAGATTAACATTGATTGTGCACCCAGCACTAAGCATACCTCAGACGGTTTATTTTTATAGGAATAAAAACCCTACTAGTCAATTGGACATGTGTATGCAAAAAATGAACCTTGAATAACACCTCACACCATGTACAAAAGTTCACTCAAAATGGATAGTGAATGTAAGTGCAATTCCCAAGGCATTAAAACTTTTAGAAGAAGTTTGGACCTTAGAGGGAAAGACACCTTATATCAGATGCAAAATAACAAAACATAAAAGAAACAAGATAAATTAGACTTCATTTAAAAAGTTAAGGACTTTTGTACTTCAAAAAAATTGTAAGGAAAATAAAAAGAGAAGTCACAGACCTAGAGAAAATATTTGCATAAGAAATACTGTTAAAAGATTTGTATTGGAATACATGAAGAACTCTCACAACTGGATTAAAAAAATGGAAAGAAATGAGCAAAAGATTTAAACAGACACTTTACTGAAGAAGATATATGAATGGCAAATAGGATGTTCAACATCATTAGTCACTGAGAAAATGCAAATTAAACCACAATGAGATGGCACTATACTTCTATTAGAATGGCTTTTAAAAGATCAACTGACAATACTACATGCTAACAAAGATGTGGAGCAATGAAGACTCTTATGCATGCCTGGTAGACCTGGAAAATGACACTACTGGTATGGACAAACACTTTGGCAGTTTCTTATAAAGTTACATTTACACTTGCTATATAATGAGAAATCCCACTCTTAGATATTTACATGAGGGAAATGAAAACACGTCCACACAAAGTCCTGTGGGTGAATGTGTACAGCAGCTTTATATATCATCACTCTAAACTGGAAACAACCTAGATATCCACCAATTGATGAACAGGTTTTTTAAAAAAAATTATGACATTCATACAATAGACTACTATCGAACAGTACAAACGAGCAAACTACTTATATGTGCAACAATATGAATAAATCTAAAAGCACTAGCCTTTGAGTCATTCTTAAAGGCTATGTATTATTGATTCTATTTATATGGTATTTTGGAAAAGGCAAAGGTATAGGATCAAAAATCAGAAAAGTGGTTGCCAGGGGCTAAATTGGTGGGGGAGAGATTAAAACATAGGGATGTAAGGGAACTTCTGGGAATGATGGAAATGTCCTCTATCTTGATTGTGATGATGATTACAATACTGTACAAGTTTGTCAAAACCTGTAGACCGTACATCTAAGATGAGTGAGTTTTACCATATATAATATTATGCCCGATGTTCAAAATATACAAAGTAATAAGAAAAAAGCAAAACAAACCCCTCCAAGGTATTAACTACGAGCTCTGTTGTATTGGCAGAGTAAGGGTGAGGGCAATGTGAAGGTGGTCAGGGCCTCTCAGCACTGCACTCTGTGTCTCCAGCCTCTCCCAGCTTCAATCCATCTGATTCTAAAGTCAACATCCAAGGTTCAGATCCAATTACATTTCCCCACCTGAGTAACCTATGGCATCTTCTTGTTGCTCACAATATCAGATTTTTTAGCATGACATTTAAGTTTCTTATTTACCTGGCCCTCACCTACCCTTCCAGACTCACCCCATGCTCTTTCTTCTTAGCACTCAGGAGCTCTATGCATGCTACAGGTCTTGAGGTTTCCCAAATATGCCACCAGGCACTTGTATGTGACCTTAACTTCACTCATGTTTTGCCTTCTGCCTAGGATATCACTCCCTGACTCTGTGTGATGAACTAACCCCTAACTGCTTCTTAAAAACAAACAAACAAAAAAAACCCTTGATGATTTAAACATCCAACAAATATTTATTAAGTTCCTACTGAATGCTTGACCCTGAAAACACAAACCATGGACCAGGAAAGTCGTCCTAGACAATTCTAATAAAAGTTAACTGCTGCCTCCCCTTTTGTCAGCAATTTGTTCATATTACTTGAATGGTGCTTACTATGTTGTATCATAAATAATTACTTAAGTGTGACTCTGAACTCTTTGAGGACAAAAAATATATCTCATTTATCAGGATAGTAGAGGCAGATGGTAATATAATGGAAAGCTTGTGGGGTTTGGTATCATATATGCTCTGGTTAAAATGTCAGTTCTATCACAGCCTGCTCTTACCTTGGCAAATGGTCAGCTGTTTAAATCCCAGTTTCTTCACCTATGAAATGGGACTAATAATACCTAATGTATAGTATTTTTGTGAGGATTAAATGAGTGCATGACATATATTAGGAACTCAACAAAATTACATATTGTTATTATTATATTACATTATATTAATATCCACCCTACATGCTACTCATCAAAGCTCATAAGACAGCTACTCAATAAATGCTTGATAAATGGGTAGATAGCAAGAGATTTGGAAATTCCATCCTTCACAGTCCTTTTCTTACCTGGCTTTTTATAAGTCACGTAGATATAGAGGAAGAACTCAATGACATAGGTGATGACAGCTGCCCACCAGTTGATGACAAACATGACTGCACAGCACAAAACAGCTCCAAAAAGGGATACCCACATATTATAAATTCCATATGCAGGTCTCCATCCTGAAAAAAACACATACAGAAGAAAAACCTCCACTCTACTGCTAACATATCACTGCATATTATAAGAATACAGGTAACGTCTCTTCCTGACATAAAGAATCAGAACCTTCAGGCCAGTTTTCTAACTCTGTTATTATTTTCCTATGATCTTGGGTTCCTAATCAATAAAGGTGGTACTTATACCACATACGATGCTATAAAATTGATAAAATGTTAATAATCTGGAAAGTGGGCCACTAATGACCCCTCCATACCCCTGCATACCTGTGATCATCTTCCCAAACTACCTAACCTTAAGTATCTAGTATCTATGCCATCAGGAGTTGAAAAGAGAAAGGAGGAATGGAAAGAGTAGGATATACAGGAAGGGGAGGGGAGGGGGAATGTTTTAGTGGTTCACAATAGAGAAGGTTAAGACAATGGGCTTTTTGCTCCCCTGGAGAGAGCAGAGAGGTCACTAAGAGTCATTGAAGACATCCGAGCAGCCAACAAACACATGAAGAAATGCTCAACCTCACTAATCATCAGGGAGATGCAAATCAAAACCACACTGAGATACCACCTAACTCCAGTCAGAATGGCAATTATCAACAACTCAAAAAATAACAGCTGCTGGAGAGGGTGTGGTGAAAAGGGAACACTTCTACACTGTTGGTGGGAGTGTAAACTAGTGCAACCTCTGTGGAAAGCAGTGTGGCGATTCCTAAAAGCTCTAAAAATCGACCTTCCATATGACCCTGCAATCCCCCTACTGGGAATATACCCTGAAGACC